AAATGTTAATAATAATAATAATGATAATAATAATATTAATAATAATAATAATGTTAGTAATAATAATGATAATAATAATAATAAAAATAAGAATAAAAAGAAGAATGGAAATAAGGATAATCAATATAACGAATTAACAATCAGACAAATAAATACACACAAAAAAATCCCCAAAAAACGCAGATAAAAAAAAAAAAAAAAAAAAGTGTTTCCCTGATTGTATATTCAACCCTGGTCATCACGCATCACTCATCAATATCAATAGGCCGATAAATGGCGACGGATTTCTTCTTCTTTTTTTTTCAAAGCAATATAAAGTTGGCTGCTATAATGTCTTTCCTCTTCCCCCCATAAAATACCACCCGCTGGAAATGACCTCAAATGATCTAACTTTTTAAGAGTTTCATATCAGGTGAAAATGGCCTGACCTCGCAAAAGACAAGAGGCAAGGGATGAGGAGAGGAGAAGGAGGAGAGTGAGAGAAAAAAAAAGATAATGGGGTAAGGGGAGGAGGAGAAGGAGAAGGAAAGAGAGAGAGAGAGAGAAAAAAAAAGATAATGGGGTAGGGGGACGAGGACAGGAGAAGGAGGAGAGAGAGTGAGAAAAAAAAAGATAATGGGGTAAGGGGAGGAGGAGAAGGAGAGAGAGAGAGAGAATAGGGTGGGGGGAGGAGGAGGAGATAAGAAGGAGAGAGAGAAAGAGATAATGGGATTGGGGGAGGAGGAGGGAGAGAGAGAGAGAGAAGGGAGGGAGATAGAGAAATAATGGGGGGGGGGAAGAAGAGAAGGAGAAGGAAAGAGAGAGAGAGATAATGGGCTGGGGGGATGAGAAGAGAAGGAGGTGAGAGAGAGAGAGATAATGAGGTAAGGGGAGGAGGAGAAAGAGAGAGAGAGAGATACTGGGGTGGGGGGAGCAGGAGAGAGAGAAAAGGGAGGGAGATAGAGAGATAACGGGGGTAAAGGAGATGAGGAGAAGGAGAGAGAGAGATAATGGGGTGAGGGGAGGAGGAGAGAGAGAAAGATATAATGGGGTGAGGGGAGGAGGAGAGAGAGAAAGATATAATGGGGTGAGGGGAGAATAAGAGAGATAGATAGAGAAAAGGGAGGGGAGAGAGAGAGATACTAGGGTGGGGAGAGGAGGAGAGAGAAAGAGAAAGGAGGAGATGAGAGGAAGAGAAAGAAAGAGAAAAAGGAAAGGAGATGAGAAGAAGAGAAAGAAAGAGAAAAGGGGAAGGAGTCGAGAGAGAGAGAAAATGGGGTGGGAAAGCGAGAGAAAGAAAATGAGGCAGGGGAGAGAGATATAGAAGAGAAAAGACAAGGAGAAAAAAAACGAGAAAAAGTGAGAGGGAGGAAAAGAGAAAGAGACGGAGAGGGTAGGAGAAGAAAGGGGAGAAAAAGAGAAATAAAGAAAGAAAG